ACAGACAACAATCAGCATAAATGGAAGGAACCTGAAAGAAACAACCTCTTTTACCTACCTGGGGAGCATCGTTTCAACTACAGGCGGAACTGACGAGGATATCAAAGCAAGAAACGGAAAAGCGAGACAAGCTTTGACTGCTCTTAAGTCTATGTGGAGGTCAACAGCACTCAGTATGAAAAATAAGATCCGAATTTCCAACTCCAATGTGAAGTCAGTGCTACTATACGGATCAGGAACTTGGCGCGTCATAAAGAGCATCTCAAACAAACTACAGACCTTTATTAACAGTTGTCTTCGCTCAATACTCAAGATCAGATGGCCAGAAAAGATCAGCAACAGAGATCTCTGGCAATGAGCGAACCAACCAGGAACCGATTGTGAAACAAATAGGGAGGAAGAAATGGAGGTGGATTGGCCATACTCTGAGGAAACCATCATGTGACATCACTAGACAAGCCATTGCTCGAGTGGAACCCGAAAGGGAAGTGGCGAGTTGGTCGTCAGTGCAAGGGTGACTTGGAGGAGGTCATGTGAAGAGGAGATGAAAACGTGTGGGCAGAAGTGGAGCCGGGTGAAGACTCAAGCGGAGAACCGAACGCAATGGAGACGCACGACTGAAGCTCTATGTTCCTCTAGGAATTAAAGGAAACAATAATAATAATAAACTAAATATCTGTTTGAGAGGACTTTGAAAAATTACTAAATAAGTATCTTAGAGGCATTCATCCTATGATATTTTTAGGCATGAGTTGGATGAGCGAATTCCGAAATCGAGCCAGCTATTTACCTCGTAATTGTTGTATGTTTCATTTGCTCGACAGTTATTAAATAAAAGTGAGTTATTGTGTCGTGTTCTTGTTGAAATACTATGCTAGTAGGATAGGTGATTGTAATCGCATAAGTCTGTGAACACAGTAAATTGATTAACAATATTGCTTAGTAGAAATACATTTGAAAAAATCAATACACACGAAGTGTACATTTTAAGTGTTATCTGATTTTGTGCACTCTAAGTATGGTAGGCAGGTATTTGTGTGGTACACCATAACTTGTTAGCTGTTTGAAGAAAATGAAACACCTCTCACAATATCACAAATAATCAAAAGCTTAATTCTCTTTTAACCACTTGTATTGAAGAATTTGTCTTTAAAACTTTATAAAATATAAACTGTATGTGTATTGAAAATTTTGTGTGACTCTTTGTTTACGCATCAAGGTTCTTCGTATTCGTATTGAATATATCAATACAGTTCTGTCTTCGAGCACATCGGTCACTTCGAATCTCGCTGATTTACTTGTACAAGAGTTACTGGATAAGGTTGGTGATGTCAAAGTAGGTGACATTGTAAAAACTACTCTAACAACACTAGCTGAAAAAACTAGTCTGGAGTTAGTAGGTGGTTGTGTAATGCGTACACTTTTTCAACTAAAAAATCCACGTAGTCATACAGAAGGCTTGGTTTGGTTGAATCAAAGTGTCCAGGAATTCGGATTTCGGTGAGTAGTAACTTTTGTTCATGAATGTTAATCACCTTAAAAACTAAATGGTTAGAGTTGGTTAAAAATACTTTTATGTTGTGTTTCTTGTCTAAAGAAATATTTGATCTACATAGTACTTTTAATCTGTTCATAAAGTAAACCTGTACTAGCTCAAGCTCATAATGTTCACAAGCTTTCTTCCTTGTTTCTTTGAGATATAATGTTAATATATGTAGTTAAGGCGTTTGATGCTTTCATTATTAAATCACCATTGTTTATATTTTACTGAGTGTTTATTTTTTCTCATATCTTATTGGTCAGTAAAAATGTGTACACGAAAAACAACTAAAACTGTTCAAGTATTGTTTTGCAGGGATTTGATTAATTGGTTGCAAGATTTCATCATGAGCTGACATCGGGTTCGAACGCCGGTGGGTGCGTACTGGTAAAGAGCCCCAAACTAGGACGAAACAGCTGTCCAGTACTCCCAGGTTTTCCAATGGTTCTCCAACCGATGTCAGCTCATGAAGAAATCTTGTAACCAGCTAAAACTGTTGTTTCTGCTGTTACATCCAATAAATCTCTTTTACGGATTATATCAGTTCTTTAATCAGGACAACCCCCAGCCGAACATTAATACTTGAAGTAAATATTTCTATCAAGTTCCATTAACCCTCTGGTTAGCATCAAAGTTTTTACTGTAATACTTTTCTTCACTAGCCCCTTCTTGAAGCTACAAATATCATTTTTTGTTCATTGTATGTAGTATTCCGCCTCAAGAAGTTGTACCACTACTGAAAACTGGTCTAAATGCGACTAATCCATCTGTTCGACAGAATTCCCTAACACTTGCTGGAACTATTCATTTATTTCTTGGAGAACGTCTAGTCAATTTGTTATCAGATGAGAAGCCTGCCGTGGTCACGTTACTAAATGCAGAATTCGCAAAAAATAAAGATCGTACACCTCCTGCCCCCACACGATGTTCTGCAACTCAGGCACTTCGGAAAGATTCAGTATCAGCTGAAAATGGTGGAACGGAGGGAGGATCGACTAATGTGGAGGCTATTCAAGAGGAGGAACCTGATGTTGATGCACTGCTTCCAAAAACGGATATCAGGTGAGTATTCATTTATCTTGTATAGGCTTTTACAAATTATATAAATAATTATTGAATATTTCGTTGCGCAGTGGGAAGACATCACTGGTTAAGGTCTGTGTAAAATGAATCGAAAATGGGGATATTAGCCAGGCACATTGGGTTCACCACTGATTGATAATAATCTACGTTACACGAAGTTTCAGTAAAAATGCTGTTACCTCTCAGCATAATCATAGTCTTATTTAGGCGAAACACGAGCAACGATATAAAGTGACTTCACTGTAGTCACTCTCTTCCTTCCTTCCAATTTACTGATTCCGCATCTATAACATCTAGTATTGTTTATGAAATTAGATTTTACTCTGCTATTCTAAGTTTACGCTTGGATTTTACTGCAATTTACATCATATTTTATCAATTGTGTGTCATTTGCACTGGGTTTTTTTCATTCCAGGGATCGTTTCACACCTGAATTATTAGGACTTTTAACAAGTAAAGCCTGGAAAGAACGTTTGGAAGCCTTGAATACTATTGAAAAGTTCTTATCTCCATCCATGATGATTGATGGTTCAAATGGGAAACTTCAAGAGCCATTGACTGCTATTGCTAAAGCTGCTAACGATGTAAATAAGAATTTAGCTAAACAAGCCTTGGGAATTTTATCCTCATTCGCTTCATCATTGCCAAAATCAGACGCTGTAAACTATATAAAGTAAGATGGAGGTTTTCAAGTGATTCATTTTCAAAATCCACAACTTGTTTTTGCTTCTACACATTAAACACCTACTTAAATGAATGAGAATGTATGTTTGTAATCTTGTATGACTCATAAACCCTCTCTGTTAAAAGTGTTGAATTTTTAGGTAGTCAGTGGGAATTGACAGGGTGTTCCAGAAGGGTGTCATCTCAGAGAATGAGACATGTTTTAAATCCAGACGTTATAGTCATTCTGGTTTTCTAACTGTGCAATCTTCTATCTGACCCTTTATATTCCTTGTGTTCAAATAAGTATGTCTATCGACATTAGTTCCAGAATGCTCATCGTTCAGCTTTATTCTTCGATGAAAAAAAGAGTCTTGATGTCACATTTAACGAAGATGCAGTAAAGACTGGTGGTTTCATTTTCACTCCAGTCATATAGGCAAGTTCATGTAGAGAAATTTTAAGTAATAAAATTGTGATACTGAATTTTTGCGAATTTGTACACATTTACGTTGATTTCACTACCAGTTCACTCTTTTATATTTCTCGATTGTTTCCATTCTTGTAGCCGAATCATTTCATCCATCTTCATATAATTAATAAGTTCGATTTACGTATTTTATTTTCAGATATACAGAACCACCTATTTTAATCTGCCTTGGTGATTCTAAGGTTCACATACGCGAAGCAGCAGTGACTGCACTTACTTCATGGCAAGCTCGAGTTCCTATTTTATCAATGTTTGAAAATGACATGTTAGCTGATGCCTTGAAAGTAAGTGTCTTCCTTCATATTTTGTGTGTAAAACTAGTCTTCTAAAGAGATATGTAATCGTATCTCAAATATGGATTCCTACTGTTGTACTGTTTTTAATTATCATTTGTAAATTTAAGGGGACTTGCCATAGGGAACTGAAAATTCGATATTGTTGAATGTACATGGTGCGTCGGTGGCATAGCGGTTAGGACGCTCGCCGACCATGCACATGGTCCTGGGTTCGATCCCCCTCGCTAAGCCAGAAATAAAAGCTGGTAAAGAGGGAAGGTTGGGCATGTGGCTAGCAACCCCATCCTGTAAAAATATACACCGCTACAGAAACTTCAAGCTTCTAGCTTAAAGCCCTATGTTCCACTGGGAACGGGAAGGAATAAAAAAAATGTACATGAGTTACAATGCAGTATTAATTACTGTAGAATATGTCATGGCAACGATTGAAACAAATCAAAATATTTCAAATTGCGCTCATTGTTATACTTTAAGTATTACCACAAGCATTTTCTGCATAGGACTTCCATGAGATCATAAAATTAATTTTTGTATATTCATAAGATTGTTAAGTATAAGCAGTTAAAAATTGATTTTTACTTTTCTTTCCTACGAGTTGATCACGGATTGATATCAGTTAGAGAACCATTGAAAACCAGGAAGTACTGGACAGCTGTTTCAGCCTAGTTTTCGGAATCATCGGCAGTGCGCACCCACTGCCATGGTTCGAACCCAGGACCTTCCAGTTACAAGGCAAGCTCGTATACCATTCTGCCACTGGGATCCGATTCATTGGCCCATGAATTCTAACTTGTACCAATCCGTGATTTCTTTCTTAATTTCTAAACACAATTCTGTAATCACTTAACACTATTCTCTTCATATATAGATGGAAAATCCTTTTCTGCGAACAGAGTTGCTTCGTTGGCTTCAAAGCGCTTTGTCACCGATGCCGCTGAACGCCTTGAGAAAAAATGCTGCAGAGATATTAGAGAATTTAATGCCTCAGGTATTCGCCTGTATTGAAGACCGTAATGCGGAAGCTCGTAAACAAGCCCAATCAGTTCTTCCTTCTCTAATTCAAGTTTTCGGCTGGGAACCGATATCCAAATGTGCCAAAAGTTTAAAATCTACATCAAAAGATACAGTCATGTCACATTTGGAGAAAGCCCGCGAAAGTGTAGCTGCTTCACATCCTTCTTCTGTAGCGGAGAAAAAGCCAACCTCTTCACCCAAAGCTGTACGTGGTGGTGGCAGTGCTGCTAGTGCACGTCCACAGTCGTCAAATTCATCAGCAGTTACTGCAACAGGTAGTTAAAATATGTTTGCATCGTCGTTGTTTAAGATTATTATTTGGTGAATTAATTATGTTCTGTTTTTCTTGAAATATTTGACAGTGCAGTAATTGTTGCCTTCAATATGACTCAGATCATAACATATGAGATGCAATTAGTCAGTTTTAGTTTTGATGAATTACAGATTCCAGTTGTCATTCACAAAGACATTTGCGAACACCCAGAATGCAGTAGTTTACCATCGTCCCTCGGAAAAATGTGTTAATACTCTTTGTGGATTTAAGTCTTTAGGTATCTTAATAAGCTCCTCAGTGTTATAGAATGTCTTTGTGATTGGGAAGTGATATGTGTTTCATTGTATATTGTAGCCTAATATTTTTCCTTATGAATAGTTTATTCCCAATCATTTTGTGTTTTTTAATGGACATTGAATTTTAGATAATGGTGAAGAGTCTGAAAGTACTACACAATCTTCAAACACAACTTCCAAATCTGGTTCAGAGGCGAAGAAAAAGACTGACAGTAAAAAACCTACCAGTGCTACGAAAAAGGCTATTGTTGAACAGCCAATTGCATCTGTCATTCTACCATCAAATAAGACAGCTAGAGCAGCCAGATTAGCTGACGAGAAAAAGCGCAAGGTAACTAATGTTTATCTTGTTATTTAATGGTAGCCCTTCATTAATTTTCTGATCACACTAGTTGTCGAGATTTCAAAACTTTTCGTTTAAAGCAGATACAGTTTGTGTTCATTTTTTATCTTCTTAGGAATAGGTAAAAGAAAGTAATTTTTGTACTTAGTACTAACTGGAACGTGCATGTAAAATCACTCAAGACCAACAAGATTCATTTAGGTACTATGTGTGTTACCACGATAATTGGAATTCAAACAGGCAGCCGGTATCATACCCAAAACGTAATTAATTTACAAGTTTCTTAAGCAAAAACCTAGTCACACAGCAATAATGAATGTGTAATCACTCGTAGATAAATAAATCGGACTAGTCAATGAAAATAGCGTAGCACATTAGGTTAATACGAGATAGTAGACAAGATGGTATTGTGGCGTACGCTACTGATAAGATTTATCAGCAGTATACATACAAAGAGATGTTCATTGGCACAAAAACGTCAAATAACAGGGAGATAGATTTGACGTCAGAGAAAGCAAATGATTCAGCGTTGCGGAGATACATGGGAGACGTGAACGGAACACAAATGAACACAATATGAAGTCCAAAAGTAACACAACACAGAAGTTCTGTGCAAATGGTGCGTTGAAGATAAAGTGTACATAATTCGGCTATATAGAGATACTAAATTGCTAGTAAACGTTCTTTTAGAAAGTTCTACGTCTTCTAACGTTACAGTGTGACTCATTGATTGATTCATGAATGCATTAAATGCGTGATTGTATGAGCATTTGCTAGTTACAGTGACGTTAAGATACAACAGCAATCTGTAATCTCCTCTAACTGATGATTTAGACAGTGTAGGTTAATTTAAATTTCCATAGGACTACCAAAATGGATTAATTAAGACTATAGTTTAAAAATAGTCACAGTTTTCTTTATATCTGTATTTCCGTTTTTATTGATCTCGTAGATCACTTCTGTATTAAGCCACGGATCATACTTTCATAGTGTTAATTTACTTTATTTGCACTGTTGACTGTAGGTTACACTGTTATTGCAGTGCTTGAGCATTAATGTGAGTGTACATACCACATACAAATTATTGTCAACAACAGTTATACGAAAATAATCACATTAGACCTGATAATCAAGTTATTCATAGTCCAAATAGGTAACATTACTGTTATACATTGTTTATGGATACTACCTTGTGTTTGGAAAACAATCTTTTAGTGAAAACAACGTTTATACTTCGTTACTTAATGACGTAAATCTCTTGAGATGCGATAACATGCAACATGAATTGTGACAACTAATGCGAAATAATAAGAAAACTGAAAAAAACTTTGTTCCTCATTTAAATGACGATGAAAGCGAACATGTGTGTCTAAATAGATTCCTACTGATTTACCTTGCTAATTTATGCATTCACTTTAGTTAATAATCAGTGTGATTGAAAGCTACTGAAAAATGTTTCTACTCGAGAAACAACATTAACTAAAAAGAGTCAGATTCAAAAGAATTTAAGGCAACTCTAAACAATAGGAACCCAAAACGAAGTGACCTACCAACGCACAAATGACCTTGTCATGAACCAATAAGAAGGCTAAAAAAAACGACAATAGTCGTCCCAGGCAGCACTAAGCGCTAGATAATAGGCAATAATACACATGCCCTGCGCTTAGGGGTCGCCTCAATATGTCCTTTCTGGAGGCTGGTGTCATATATCCCCAAAAACCTATTACTGGAAAAAAGTCACCTGATCGGTTGCTCAAGGTCATTCGTGCTTTTGTAGGTCGTTTCGTTTTGGGTTCCTATTGTTTAGAGTTGCCGAATTTACGGGTGGTGGCCAAACCAAAATATTACTATCCGTAGTCTACGAGACAATAACAGTGTAGCCTGAAGTTGAACACAGTGACCCAGTTATATTGATTATCACCAATGGTTCTGACATCTTCACTAAGGTTTAATGAGTTCATTTTTCTTTCATGACATTTTCCTATTGTTTAGATATATCTCTCACTACTGCTACCGAATTTGGCAGCTTGCACTAATGCATTCCTATTAGAGATTCGAATTTCTCCCAGTTATCCGTTTCAGCTAATTTTTGAGTGATTTTTTCAATGATTATGGTAATTCTGAGTGAACTAAATATTATCTGAAGGAGAAACAAGTGTTCTTATTAGTGAAGTGCATTTTTATGTCAACGTTGTGAATTTATACTAAACAAATGTTGCTAAGTTACAATCGCTCGAAATTATGCCCAATAAAACTCTTAATCGACAACAGTTTGATCAGGTATTCACTTGAATATAATCTATTCAAATCTTATACTTTTCCCCCCTGTTGTTTCGCTGTTATTTACTTTGATTTTTGGACATTTTCAATTTACAGCTTCTGAAATGGGATTTCGATTCTCCTACGAAAGATCATGTACAACAGTTGAATACATTATTCAGTGCAGCAGGTGCTTCCCCTGAATTCCATGCTCTTTTGTTCCATACAGATTTTCGACAACATATTAAAGCAATTGACCAGCTTTCTCAACTATTAGATACACCTGAAGGTGCAGAAGCAACTTTGGTAAATGTCGATATCATCCTGAGATGGATTGTTCTTCGATTCTTTGAAACTAATCCCGTTGTTTTGGGAAGATGTGGGTTGTTGGTTAATTTTTTATCATCTCATTTAATCTTGTTTAGTTTTCATGTGTCTACCTTAAAGACTGCGTCATTTTTTGACACTTTTATCATCTCTAATCAATATTGCACACACCTTGCGTATCCTTTGAGTTGAAATATTGAAAATGGCTATATAGAGGTTTTTATTAGCTATTGGCTAGAGGTCGACTACTATTGGAATATATTTCTGCTAGAATGTCAAATTTTTTTCCACATGGGTACGTAAATATAGGTTATTTATATTCAGTGTATGGAGTGAGACTAGCTGTATAGCGTGAGAACGGTATCAGATCATACAGTCATGTGAAATAATACAAGACTTAAGTCAATATTTCACAGTATGGAAGTGTATGAATGCAGTTTATATGAGACTATTATTGTTGTTGGTGTAAGTGCTATTGTAACAACAGAAGACAAGGGCCAGGCAACAGATCGTTTATTAAGGAAATCAACACATATTTATAGATTTTCATGTACATTATTATAGATTATTGTTAGTAGACAAACACAGTCTTCTGATTGGTTGTTTCTCACTGAAAGTTAATCTTTCATCTCTTTGTGGCTGTTTCTTGAATGTCAGATCATCTATATGCTAACTGTATCCGCCTACGCAAAGCCTTTGTTCTCATTTTTCTCACGACCAATATTGGGGACATAAACATTGACGTAAATTAATGTCTACCAGCAGCCAGCTCTCACCACACTAACTAATTTTATAATTCAACCATATTGTCACTTGAAGTCATTGTGTGTTTGAAATAATTGGGGTATGCATGAATTTACGGGAAGAAAGAATTGAGAGTAAAGGGTATGTCGCTAAGTTGCTCAAATAAATAGAACACGCAAAACGTCGAGAGAAAAAAGGGCAAATCGCGACAGCAAAAAAATTAATGAAGAAATATAACCAGTAAAAACGGTAATATATTCATAACGTTGAAACTGGCTATACCGTCTTTCGAAATGGTGTAATTTCCTCAACAGTGCATATGAGTTTGCTGTTTCATTCGCGTATTAGCAAGCGTTTCTTCATTGAATGTGTTGTTCATTCCATTTCACTCAATCGTTTTGCTGATATTTTGAACAGTGAATTGGTAAATTTTAGAATTCACGTGTGGGAATGACATCACTGTGGAACATTTTGATGAAAATATAGTCGAAAACAGGAATTGTTAATATTGAAATAATTTCATTCCATTCTAAATGTAGAATTAAAATGCAGGTTTGCGGGCAAATATCATCTCAGAGTGTCTTTATATCATTATCGCATAATCTTTGTATGTGCACTTATCACTACAATTCTTCAAACATTAGCGTGTTCTACACTTATATATAGTAGAAACTGGAGCAGTCAGTTCTATTGATGTGACCGTCAAAATGGTGTAACAACTACTTTTACTTTGAGCACCTCCGCCTTATACGAACAGAATTAGTTACAGTTTACACTTGATTACCTGATATAATTCTTTATTTCACTGATCGTTATGTAAAAAGCTGAATAATAACTCTGGATGTAATTTTAATCAAAGTTACACAACCCATCATCATTGAATTGGTATTTTGATATTAACTATAAAATGTATCTGTTAGTTTTAGAGCTAAGGAAACAGTGAAAAACACAATTAATTGTTTGATAAGTCGTTCTTTTGAAATATCAACGAACATCTCTGAACACTAATAATCATTCTGTCATGGTGGTTTGTATGTAACTGAACAGACGTACTATTATGCAACATTTTAGGTCAAATTTTATATCACTTATAAGGACTTTCGCAATGATGTGGAAGAAAAAAAGAGGAGAAGAGAACAATTCATTGTGTCATATAATATTATCGAAAATAAAAGTTTGGTGTACATCTACTTTATAGTAACATTATTATTATTTTTTTCTTTTTTACAGGTATGGATTATTTAACAAAGTTATTTGTTCAGATGTCAGAATCTGGAGCAAATCTTTCTGAACATGAAGGCGGTTCATTTCTACCTTATTTGGTAATGAAAGTCGGTGATCCAAAAGATATGATTCGTCAAAGTATTCGTGGAATAATGAAACTTGTAGTTAATCTCTATCCCCCTAGTCGTCTGTTCACCTATCTAACAAATGGTATCAAAGCAAAGACAAACAAAACAAGGCAGGGTTAGTTTTGTTTTGTTTTTCATTACTGTTCAGCAATTAAATAGAGACCTAAACATATCTTATGATCAATTCAAATTTGTTTTAGCTGTTTGAATATTTCTATTTGCCTATTGTCCATTTCTTTTTTCTAGAATGTTTGGATGAAATGGGTTCACTGATCGACCGATTTGGACTGAATGTTTGTCAGCCGTCTGTCCCTGTAGCAATCAAACTTATTGCTCAACAAATAGGCGATCGTGATAGTGGAGTTCGATCAGCTGCTTTAAATTCCCTACTATCTGCTTACGCTATCGTTGGTGAACAGTTATGGAAAATAATCGGTGACGTAAGAAACAATTATTTTTATGCACTCCGGTTTTTCACATTTTTTATTGTATAAGCAATGATTAATTCTGTAGCCAAAAAAAGTTATACATAATACATAGGAAAATATGGCTGAAAATGTTGCTAAATTGATATTATTTCCTATCTCATAATAGTTTTGCATTATAATCTTCCATTTCTAAAACGGCATCACTTATTCCACGCAGACGATTCCCCTGATTAGTTTAGATACGGAGAGTGAGAGAGAACGAACTTACTTGCAGGATAAAAGGAGCTAATGTTTTTTTCTTTTGCAGTTTTCCATTAGCTATTAACAGTCTAAAAAGTTCATATAAGTTATTATAAATGCAAAAATATATAACTACAAAAATTAATTCAGCTGCAAGGTCACAATTGCAGATCAAAAGGTATGCACACTACACAGTAATCTTTGTCTCACATCATAGCTATCTTAATCCTTGAAAATTCATAGCTCTACTGCTATTTTTAGCTGGCACATCCTTTATTCCGTCATATACGAGAATCACTACAAAGACACCTATGATCCCGTTTTCGTACGTCTTTCAGAAGACTGTGTGCAGTTATGTAGCAGTTTGCAAACCGTTAACACTCTACCGTATATTAATTGGCAGATGACTAATGCATATTTTTGTATTTGTTCTGAAGTTTATCATGACGTGTTATTTACAGTGACATAGTGTGACACGATTTAAGCATGGTAAGAGGCACTTGCTGACTACAACTTTGCATAAAATTTGCAAATAGTAAGTATTGACGGAGCAGAGAACATATATTATGCCTTTTTGTCTTGTTGGCAAAACATTTTAGAGAAAGTCTTAGTTTGAAAAAGACGTGATAGTCATCACTGCTTTCTATCAAGGAATAGTGTAGCCGTTCATAAATTTTCTGTTTTATGTAAGCATTCTATTATATCGTATGGCAAACAGATCAACGACGTTACTCCACAGTAGGAATGATTTATTCGCATACAACGTCAAGTATGAAAATTAGTGCTTACACAGACTAATGTAGCCACTTCTCACACTTTGCAGCAAAGTCTTGAATCGTACGATTAGCATTCCTTCACTGCTTCATCACTGTAGTTCATAAGTTTCAGTGTCTAGAGGACTAGGTTGTTTTCGTCTGTACTTAGTTTGCCCCTCAGATTATTGTAAGCCGTTAAACAGTGGGTATTTTATCTCCGTGTAGAACGCAGAGGAGGGCTCTATTTGCAACAGTCAAAGTTAGAGCAACAATCGGACGAGTGGGAAAAATTTACCTGAAAGACAAAATTCATAGAACAGCTAAAAAAAAGTTACTCAACATCCGAAATAAAATTAAGTCGCTGAAACACGCATCATTAAAGTTATTCTTCATCGTCTTCTGTTGTCTGCTAAATTCTTTCGCCTGACAGATTTTTGCGATATTATTGATGAAAAACCATTATCACCAGTAGAAGTGTAACGACAGAAGACAAGGGCCAGGCAACAGATCGTTTATGAAGGAAAATCAACACATATTTATAGATTTTAATGTACATTATTGTAGATTATTGTTAGTAGAAAATACAGTCTTTTGATTGGTTGTTTCTCACAGAAAGTTAACCTTGCATCTGTTTGTGGCTGTATCAGATCATCCATATGCTAACTGTATCAGCCTACGCAAAGCCTTTGTTCTCATTTTCTCACCACCAATATTGGGGACATAAACACTGACGTCAATTACTGTCTACCAACTTTGGCTAGCAGCCAGCTCTCACCACAGAAGCATGTACCATCGTTATCATTACACTAGCGAGATTTTTCTTGAATTTTAATGGTAATTAATATTCATCACTACTATGTTCCTAATTAATTCATTATCAATGATGTAATAATTAATTTAAAGCACACTAAGTTCAAAGGAGTCATGAAGAAGAGAAAAAACAGTCATGTGATTACCATTAATGAAAATGCTTGGAATTTACCCTACGTTTGATAATTTCAGTATTATTTTTGACTACTAGTCACACATGCTTAGTGTGACTGTTTTCATCAAGTTTTCAAGAAGATCAATTAGTTTAGTTATTTAAGGTGATACATCAGTTTGCTTTTGGTAAACTATAAAATATTTCGTCAAACGGAAAAAGGCTTAGTTAAGACATTTGTAGAATGTTAGTTTGTTCACTATGCAACGTATTTGACAAGTGATAACAACTTTTCGCTGTAGTATTGCAAAATCAAATGTCAAAAAAAAAATGAAAAATGGTTAGATTTTCACGTGCTTATGATTAGTCCATTGATACATTACCAAATGGCATTTCCAACAGTCTACAGACGTCTATCAACAGCTGCTTTCGCTCCATAACGAAGATCAGATTTTCACAAAGAATTCACAACATGGAACAATCAAGAACCTATTGCCCAACAAATATGCTGAAGGAAATAGAGGTGAAAGCTTATGGACAGTTGTGCGGCTAACTAAAAAGAACCTCAAAAAAAACACTATGAAATGGAACTTTTCTTGGAGTCCTTGGGAATAAATGATAGTGTGGTGAGAACTGGCTGCAAGCCAAAATTGTAGACAGCAATTTATGTCAATGTTAGGTCCCGAATCGGGATCATGAGAAGAACAATAACAAAGCTTAACCTTGAGGAATTCACCAACCAATCACAGTAGACTTAACGTGTGCAAATAGGATTCGCAGATATATGGCTTAACTTTCTAAGAAACGGTCACAAGCAGTACAGAATAACCTTCAGCAAGGAAACAATCAATCAGAAGACGTTACATCTTCACTGACGATAATGTACAAAAAAATCTATAAATATCTGTTGATTTTCTCAATAAACGATCTGTTGCCTGGCCCTTATCTTCTGTCGTTACAATAGTAATAAAAATACCATCAATGTTAGCCTTTAGCCTCTGTAGGACAAGTCCTAGGTAATAAAATCAAGTCACTGTAACAAGTTAATGAGTTATGGCTGCGTTGTCAGTCGCGTAAACATCTTTAACAAACCATTTGTAATTTGAAAATGTCGGATTCGGAAGGTGTTTTAACTACAAGTTTATATATACAAATATATAAATATAATGCTGTTATTATTAACACTGGTGTCTTCTATCACATCTCATTGTTTTCTTTTAGATCCCTGAGAAAGAACGTTCAATGTTAGAGGAACGTATTAAGCGCTCTGGTCATGTACCAGCTCCGGAAAATTTTGAACCGAAAGCTGTTGCAAGACCAAGTACTGCAAGACGGTATGTGTTATTCCACCTGTGTTATTACCAGCCATTTAAAGTGTATTATTTTTTTTCCATAATCTTATCCGTTACACTTACATTGATTATTTAGTGAAACGATTAATCTATCTTGCGTCAGGATTTTTGTTCATCTGCGATAGTAATTCGTAACTTCAATATTCTTTTGACTCTTTTAGGGACTTTCCTCCCTGTCTGTGAATTACTTTACAGCCCTGTTACAAATCATACATTTAAGCACTGAGAAATTATAGAAGACAATTAATTCGTTATATTCACCATTTTGCTTATATTGTTATTACACTTGTACAACTGTTCATTTCACTTCATTTTCAGTGAACCATCTGATTCTCGTCGCCCTGCAGAACCTGTTCCTCAAGAATACCACCGTCAGCAGCCTGTTTCTGCAGCGCATGCTAAAGCTCGTGCTATGCTGAATGAATTAGGTGACTTATCGCCTGAAAAAGCCCCAACCATGCCTCCACTAATTCAGTTAGATGCTGATATTAATGATCTCTTCCAACCTGTTGAAATGCCTGCTCTTAAGTAAGTCGCCATTTTTTTATTCATACCTTTATAAAAAACAATGAATTGATATAACTTCGTTCTATTTATGTCACCTTTTGTTTTTTTTTATGTACATTATTTATTATAGAAATCATGCTCGTCAAACAATCTTAAACGCATTGCTACGGACAAGCCCTGATACCGCCTCAGCTATCACAATGGTTGTAACAGCTATATCTTCAAACGATTTACTTGTCAGTTGTCATGCTCTGGCAGAAATTGATACTGTTCTAAGGGGTAAGATTCTGGGTTATCATGACAATTATTATTTTTATCAATACTATTACTATTATTATTGTTTCAGATTGATAAAGTAAAAAGCTGTTACAGTTACAGTTTATTTACATTATTTTTACCTCTTATCGGTATAGATGAGAAGTGGTACCTCCTACTAAACCATGTCAATCAAATTCTAATGCTCATTACAATGCAGTTACGACAGGTTACTTCGAGATATTTTGGAGATCCTTCAGTTACGGAAGATCAGTTGTGCAAATTAATGCAATCCCACCTTTCCGCTCTTGAATCTGTGAGTTTAGGTTATTTTTATACTTGCCATGGTAAAGGTATCCGTAGACACTTACATATAGTTCTCGTGGTTTTTATCGAAAACTGATTATTATTTTTTAATTGTTGAAATATTTCAAAGTTTAAGTTAATGTATTGACAGAAAAACCTTATTGTCTGGGATATGCCATACATTGCTGTTAGGTAAAAGATCTCAAACTGGTACTTGTCTCTACAGAAATCTGCCTTGTCATTTTCTTTTCATAATAATTCCAGCGTAACTTAGCACACATAAGCGTCGCATAACTATCTTATTTCTATTTTAGATGTTCACTGACTGTTTCAATAATTTTCTAGACACTTCTGTAGTCTACAGCACACCAAAAATTACCTGTAGCCAGTGAAACCATTTAGTCTAAAAAGCTTACAGATTGCTGTAGGTCAAATGATCATGATTTCCAAACAGGTAATACGTGAGAACAACAATTGAACAATTTAAAGTTATGATGTAGTGATCGATGTCGAGCCCGGAAATAAACAGATAAACAATGGATTATCCTTTCTTACGTCTATGTCACTGGTCATGTATGTATACACAAATATCGTTGTTTCCTTTCACTATGTATACTTTCCGTCTCGCCTCGTTGTTTGGTTTGGGTGAAATAACGGGCTGGGGAATCAGGTGGTTGTTGTATATATTGATGGCGTAGACAAGCGATATGGGTGATCATTGCGTGTCTGTACAAGCTCGCATGTCCCTCTCAATTCAATCCAACGTGTTAGCAGCATGAAAGGGATGTACTGGGAGTGTGATACAAAATCTCCATAAAATAATTGTCTCTGTATATACTTGTAGATAGTCAATGTAGTCTACGTACCAAAAACAACAACATTACGATTCTCAACGTCTGTGGTATGATAAAATACATTAAGTTTATCTGCATTCCCCGTGGATTAATCTTATTGGACCGGAATGCCCAGTCTCTGTTGACATATCGTCTCCTGGACATTATCCGAAGATTAACATGTTGTGATATTTATTGGTTGGTGGTAATTTGCAGTGGAATCCAGGATGCACAATTCGTCTCATTGACTAGTTTCATCTATTTATGTTTTTGGTTTGCACTTAATATAAATGCTTAAAAGTCTTGGGAAAAAGTTGAAAAATCTGTCTTTCAAACTGGTGGTAAAGCTTTTTTCACTGCATTAATCACCACATACCAATTGATAGATTAGGGGATATTTCTCAATGACGAGTAGTTTTCTTTTTGAACCAAAAAAAACTAATTTCAGCACAAGTTTATCTTTTGTATTTGAGCAATTCGCATTACTTACTTCCAGCATTATTGCTAACTTGCTTTAATTTATCCTGCTCTCTGCCAACTTAAACTTATTTAGCACATTTAGCCAATTGAGTTCTGATTCCCTCTCTCTTTGTTATTTGACATATGCACATGTTGTGTAATAATCTGTAATTGTTATTTTATTTTAGTTCATTTAACGATAGCTCATAAAAATTACTAATCTTTAAATTTAGCTTTTCAATCGTCCAACATTGGGTCGTGAAGCTTCACGTGAAACAATAAGAGAATTAATTCAGTCATTGCTTCACATGATGCTAGATGAAAGAACCGCGGAAATGCCTGTTGGAAATAACGTCATCAGGTCGATCAATGCACTTTTCGTTCGTATATTGGAAACTGCCAATGGAACACGCATTCTAAGGTAGGTCACTTCTAACTTCTAGTTTCATCGCGCTTTCTGTATTTTTGTTTTTTTATTATGTCTTCGAAATTTATGCTAATGAAAGACAAGTATTCATCTGAAGGTGTTTTCCCTTATTTTTCAAAATCAACTAGAAAACTTTTGGAAATTCACACACAAATGCATACATGCAATGCTTATTCATAATTTCATAGGAAATAGACCTTTAGGACTTTGAATCTCGAAATGGGCTTATTACTGTTCAGTAAGTAATGTTGACTTGAATTAGCTGATGTATATTGTTTCTACTGAAGACTTACCCTACAACAACGCAGAGAGTAATATTATCTAGTCATACACAATTTGAAGGACGAATCACCACATGTGTCCGCTTCAAGTGTGCTTACATCAGTTCACCTGTTCCTGTGAAGCTAAGTGCACAGGTACATATTCATCTTTCATCACACCTCAAAAACTTCCATATCAAGTTGAAAACTACTATTGTGATGAGTGCTGCTTGTTACCAGATATAAGTAGTATATCAGGAAACATTCAGAAAAGTAACAATGCGCTTCGGACACTAGAAAAACCCAGTCGAAGAAGAGAACTGTCAGAAGAACCTTACGAACACTGTGAAGAATCCAACAAGCTATCGAATGTGGTGATATTCGACCAATTTGCAAATAATGTACAGATAAAGCATTGAAGATAAGGTATACCAAATTTATGTACCTACAATACGTTTGTCCTAATAAACACACCTTCGAGCCTCATCGGTCTTTTCTTTTTTACGCTATTTCCTTTAATTCCCCCTCCATTCCTATGCTGAATTAAATAATAATTATAACTGTACGGACTTTTGTATGTGAATTGCAATTGTACAACTCTTGTGAATGAAATTGCCTGGATGATATTTTTACTCTAATGACTTTATGGATATTTCCCACGATTCTCTCTGTCGCAAAACAATCATCCACCGCTATAATCGACATACCTAACTCATCTGTTATTCAATTTCCCATTAGAACTACAGGAGTCGTTTATCCCAATCTCTTTCTAATTGGAATTTATGTGATATTACGTATATAGAAAATTAGAGTTTTGAAATTTTCTGTGCATAATTTTTGTGACGTATCCTAAAACGTGTATTTCGTCTCATACATAAATCACAGTGACTGTTGGCTTTATGTTGATCAAGAATTCTTCGCATGCCGTAGTTTTCATGAATTTTATCTTTAGAATTAAGTTTATTGTCTTAGGTTTGACGATATATAGTTAGTTAGACAGATATCATCTATGGTACATTTTTGTTTCAAAAGTAAACACCATAGTTTACTTGTAATAATGTACAATTAGTCCAGCAGATGAGATGTATAAATGAATAATTTGACAATGTGTCGAAAAACCTATACATACTGTATTCTAATTATATTTGTTTATATATTTTAGCGCTCTCATCAGGTTACTGCATGAGTGTGTCAGTAATGGACATTTCACAAATAGATTTACTCAAGCTATCTTGAAGAGTATTTGGCGTGTTACTAAAGGAATGAATACTGCATGTAAGTTCACTGAATACATATAACGCTGTGATGGTGTAGATGTTTTGCATTCGTTTTTTTATTTTGGCTACTATCTTTAAACATGAAAGATAAACTATAGATACTTTCTATATATATGGGGTAAATCGTTTTTACTTAATGAGAATATTCTACATTAGCGTGTAGCTGTACAATATCTTCCATGATTTTGAGTTAGCACTGTGTTTTTTTGGTTGTAGTCATTGTAACTGTCATTTATAAATCCATTGTGAAAATCACCCTGCTTAGAGTAATCCACACCTATTCTCATTGTAACCACATAATTGTCATCATTTTGATGATTTCCATCTTAGTGTTTGAATGACAATAGTAATTAATAATCATTTTGTGTACTAAGTGTATAAATGTGTTCTTTCATTTAATCGAATAGAAGAGGAGACGTCTAGTTTAAGAATTCAGTTTCTCTATATACGTGTACTGTTTTGTGCAGTCGAACGAAGAAGTATTCTCTCCACTTATATCTAACTAGTACCCATACACTGAATCATGCGAGAACAAAAGAGGATTGTAGCAGCAATAGTTTTGTATTAAAATGTGAATGGCAATTGAAACACAGTTAGACAAGAAGCAACACTAAAGTCTGCACTAAAGACGTTGTCTGGGGAGACAATGAGAGCTCTACAACTAAATCACACAGCTCAGAGAACACAACCACATCATAGAAATCTGTGTATGAATTGCTTAAACAAATCCGCAAGTGGTATTGGTAAGAGTGATAAAGCTAAACATTGTTATATACAAAGGAAAAAACAGTAGGTTAGAATAAGGCAAATGAATGTGGTCATCACATGTACACGTAGACTCGATTGTAAGAGGATGAAGGAAACAAGTGGGACTCATTGCTTTCTTAGGTGAAATGGATGAATTTTGTTTTATTTACTTGGTAAGCTTTTGATTCCAGTAATATTTCTAGCGAAAATCCCAACTGCGCACAACTTGTGCTACATTTATTAATCCAGATAGCTTGGTTACACTGACAAATACAAACAACGTAGGATCTGTCACAGTTGTCAGACTTTACAGTAGCATATCGTGATAAAGTCATTGGCTTATACTGAAACAAGTAAGGAAATCGGCAATCAGAAGGAATACTAGGGTAAAGGAGAAAAGACCGATGAGGCTCGAAGGACAAGCGCATTGTAGGTACATAAATTTGGTATACCTTATCTTCAATGCTTTATCTGTACATTATTTGCAAATTGGTCGAATATCACCACATTCGATAGCTTGTTGGATTCTTCACAGTGTTCGTAAGGTTCTTCTGACAGTTCTCTTCTTCGACTGGGTTTTTCTAGTGTCCGGAGCATATTGTTACTTTTCTGAATTCATTTACTGATATACTACTTATATCCGATTATAAGTAGCACCCACCACACTGGTACAAAGGGAAAGCTGATTGTTGTATTGAAGATGTTCTGTTGAAGTGGTGTGAATGATTCCTAGTTGTATTTCATACAGTATTCAAGCCTTTATTTTGGGATATGTAGAATATCAGTGTAAACAGAGACCAAGTATGTATAACTCAGCCTTCTTCATCTTCAAGACGTTTATTTATTCTATCCTGGTACATAACACGTTAACTTAGACAGTAACATTATTTGGTATATTTCTAAGTATCGAAATTGGCATAATTTACTCTTTTCTTCCTTTCGTTTTCATCATTATCAGTTAATAACTATGCTGTGGATGTTATACTCTTGGATTGTCATCATTTTTTGAAGGCATTCCCACCTTCATTCTGGGGTTCACAAAAATCAGATGTTCCTTTGCGAACTATAAAGACATTATTACATGTCTTATGTCGTTTACAAGGTCCGTCAATCTTAAAGTTCTTAGAAGATATACCTAATAAGGTAGGTATTTTAAAGAAACTACATTTTAATTGTCCTCTTTTGAATCCTAAGTGTTGCAATTATCTTTCAGTGAATGGATGTTTATTTATAATCACCTAAGAACATTTCTTGAAATGGTATGTAAAAAAGTTTCTGCTTCCACTGTTAGTCTAATAGTGTCTATCGTGAGTAATAATCAATGAAATAGAATGAGTGCTACACTTCACTTTAGTGTTCCTCCCGAGGTGTATGTCCTTTTTATGAAGTACGGCTTTTCTATCGAAAAGTGGTAATTAGTATATATCACAAAGTAGTCATTTGATTTATAAAGATCATTCTTAAAATACATGTGAGTGTAATTTTCATTTATTCCTTAAGAGGAATACTAAGTGAATACCCTTTTGAAGCTTATAGTGCAGATGTGCAGTTTAAAATTCGCTGATACCCCTATCACTCAACCATAGTAATTCTGTGAACTGAAATTGAATTTTGATAACAAATCATTTCCATAAATACATGTAGTCAAAATGTCTTCATTTTGCAGCTGAACTAAAACTGACATGCCTAACACTGTCCTAACTTTCTCATTCGACTGACTTACTCTCCCTCCTCCAAATACTCCAAGTTAAAATCACTACTTTTTTTACCATGCCGTTATACAGTACACGAATAATTGATCAAAAGTTCATGTGATCATAAATTCATAGTATTTTCAATCTCCTATGTTCAACGGGCATGTCTCACAAAACAACCTGCTGCAGGGTACTCATACCTTTTGATGGATACACGGGTGTCACACTATATATGATATATAGGTTGGCAAGTACCAAACGAGCCTCCTTATCCTCCCTGAGATTCTGTTAGTAATCAGCCCCTTTTGGTCCAATGCAACTCTTCAAATAAATAGATAAACATATCCAGTCATTTCACTACTTATCCTTAAATTAGGCTCCGCTCTTACACTATTGTATGAATTCGAGTAAAATGTCTTAAGTAGAGAAGGAACAAACATTGGCGTAGAATAACATAGATCTATTTTATTTCTACGAGTTGATCACGGATTGATATCAGTTAAATAACCATTGAAAACCAGCGCTGGAGTACTGGACAGCTGTTCCATCCTAGTTTGGGAATGATCGGTAGTACGCACCCACTGGGGTTCGAACCCAGGACCTTCCGGTTACAAGGCAAGCTCGTATACTATTCAGCCGCTGTGTTCCCGATTCAATGACCAGTCCATGAATTCTAGCTTCTACCAATTCGTGATTTAGCTTGACCCCAGCCAATGTCCTCGGTGGGACATCCATCCTCACACGTGACATCTGGGTGAACCTCACTGGCCACGACTTCTCACTAGAACTCCAGGAAACTTCATCCTGTAGTAAGTCACTAGCGAGCAGTTTATTTCGTTAGATCTCATTAGCTGCGTACAGCCTAAAATCTTTAACAAAATAAGTCAGTATACAATTGTTACATACTTTTTTCTATCAACAGTGAAATAAAACATCGGGATGATAAGGTATCTGAAGCATTAGAGTGTACAATTAACTGACAAATCTGTTGTTAGGGCTGTGACAAAAATTAGTAACAATTATGTAGTGAAATAAGAGAAGATCAAAGTTTTGTGTGCAAGAGGTCAAGTAAAAAGATGATGATGTAATGCGATGATTAGAACTCAGAAGGTCAAGGAAAATTATCTCTCATGGAAGTCAAACGGAAAAAAGGGGAGGGGATGAAAAGATTACTTAATGAAATTAGAAGACAAAGAGTTACTAAGGGATGAGTCGCCAGGGTAGTTGAAGTCCAACAATAGATTACTTTTGGGCACAGGTCAGGTTTCAGCTGTTTTATTACTATAGCCTCAGCAAACCGAAGAAGACTTAAGTCATTTTGTGTTAAGTATTTTGAATGATCCCAGCTCGTCTACTCGGTGTCGTATGTCTATCAGATGTTTGGTGACTGAAGAGCTTAAATTGTTTGGGGCTTTTAACTGGAAGCTCCTTGGCACATATCCGAAAAATCTGGCGTAGCATAGTGGCCTGCATATAATTTCTCGTATTCTGGTAAAATATGACCTCAAACAGTAATGTTTACTCTGGCGAGTATTTAAAACATTTACAACTTGTTAATTCGCAAGTTTCCGCTAAACATGTGGATAAGCATTGTCTTTGTTGGCTGCTTATCCCAGTACATGAGGTGACCGTTCCTGAGTGGTGTTCTTGATTCATAACATGTATTCTTAAATATTTTATAATTGGCGTTCAACAAAATGTTGTGTATTTCTCGAAGAAGAAGAGATATCGTAATGGATTGGTTTGCGGTTTAGATCATACTACCTATTGTCAATTAATCTTTTATTTGAAGAACTTGGATGAAGCGAAAGTAACATGAAAATTCCAAACATTGTTCAGAATAAAGCTATCAGTATTGTTAGGTCCTTCTTTCTATTTTGCCAGTTACTTCCACAGAACCTCCTTCAGTCAAGCGTTGCGTTGGGGGCTACTCTGTTAAATTTATAAACTATTCAGCCAATCAGTTCTTTCATATTAGTTTGTTCATTCGATATTAGTATGCTGTGAAACAGCTTTATTTATTGAATTACGTTTAGAACTCTATTTATTCTTCACGATCATATTTCACCGTACAATGTTAACTGAGTGTTATGGTAATTATAATTTATACCGAACTTATGTATCAGTTATGACAGCCTTTCATAGCCTTTAAACATATTGACAGGTATTTTGGTTACCGTGCATTGCAACAATATGTTCTAGTGCACCGAGTGTTGATACCACGATACGGCATAGTAAAGGATTAAGCATATTTATCAGTAGTCCGTTGAAATGATTTTATCCATCTTGGTAAATCATGCAGATAATAAGTAAAACAGTCTAACCCATGATCCACTATGTTTTTTTGGTTTGTTTAATTCATTTCATGGTTTTCCACAGTATCTCATTAAACGGTTTTTGTTATTTCTATAATTATGATTATTACTAATAGGAGGATTCGGATTTGGAGGCTTACTTAATTCGAACGTTAAAAAATACCTCAGGGATTCAAACTACACCCTCCAATGTAAACAAGTCACAGAATTCTGATGAAAACGCTCCTAAAGTAAGCTTTAAGATAACATCTTGTTTGAATATCTTACATAACTATTCTAGAAGATATGAAAGGTGGTGGTGGTGGTACTTTGCACTTGTCCCTTTATGTTAATGTCTATGCATGCAATACTGAATGGTATCAAATTTTATTGCATTTGCAAATATACTTCCGTAATGATAACTATTATTATAGTTATAATAATAAGCACTTCACTGATAACGCATTGCATCTAATCACCTTTCACAATGGATGCATAGTTTTATTTTATCCCATGAAATCTATGATCAAGCAGAAGTCCAAGATGGACAGTTCATTAGTTTTTAAGCTACTGTTTATTTGATAAGTAATAGAAACCACTTTTAACTCTGAAACCTACAGTGTTGTTCATGCGGTTAGATAGTTTTACTGGTTCTCACAAATGTGTGTACATGTGTAATTAGTGTTATTACTGTTGTTTATTTTCATGCATATATGTACTACATTTTAGCCTTTAGATGTATGGTAAGCCACATGTTCTCTTGATCCATTTATAACACACTAAGTCAACGAAATTGAATAGAAAACAAAAGACCTTTCCTTTTATTATTTCCCAACTATGAGATCTAATATCGTTAAAGTACAATTTTCCCGTGTACTTTAGGGGAATTTTAATAGTCCATTTTGTTAGTAAAAATGACTTTTTGCAAAAATTATGATGACGTATACACTTGAGTAATGTGACAAAAATTTGGCAAAGTTGTAACACCCTTCTAAATTAAGTTTTAGCAGTCGGTATTTTTACCACATAATTAGTCTCTAGTGAGTACTGTGTATAGGTTTTCAATACTAATGTGCTTCTATATATGGTTCTGAAACTTGGCGCGTATTTCCAACAGACATTTATCAGTAGCTGTCTTTGCTCTGTACTAAAGATCATATGGCTCACAAGAAAGGATTAGCAACTAGGAGGTATGACAACGAACCAACTAAGAACCTATTGCCCAGCACATATGCCGAACGGAATAGAGATAGATTAGAGGAGACCGTTGTGTGACACTACACACCACAGGCCCTCGAGTGAAACTCGGATAGGAAACGACGAGTTGAGCTTGGGTCCGAGGGTGACACTGAAGAGATTGTATAAAGAGGAGATGAGAACTTATGGATAGTAGTGGAGCCAGCTAAAGAGGAATTCAAAAAACTGAGTGAAATCGCGGTGTGCTGTTGAAGCCCTATGCTCTACCCGGAACTCTAGGAAATAATAATATATATACTTTAGCGGGAGATTAAATAGGCGGAGTTGCTTGATTAATTACCGTAGCCTTTTTAAACACCATTGAAGCCACTTAATTATATATTCTTAGAAAACATAATTATTGTAGCAGTCTACTTAGTGATAAATAGACAATAATAGATTTCTACTGTACGTATCCAGCTCTATAAAATTGACCGGTTTATTATCATGTGAAATTAGAATTTTTCTTTTCTTGATAATGATACCTTTTTATGGACCTTGTTTACTCTGTTACTGTGTCATGTATGTCTTGTGATTGTCGTGGCGATTAAAATGGATAGGACATATGTTGCGCAATGTATGCCATCGCCTTCATCGACGATTGATGTTAGCTGGTGTAGGATAGGGTTAGAAATGAGTTAAATGGTGATTAGAAGACATCTTACCAATGGATAAAGTCTTTGGTTGTTCGTTTCAGTCATGTCGAGAGGTGTCGAGACGATAATAACCAAATGTTGGGACTGTTGTAGAAATGACTTTGAATTGCATTCAGCAACACAGTTGTTTTCGCTCCTTGTGGTCTTCCAAATTCTTGTTCTTCATTTAGTCATTCTTTTTACTGCATATTTTAGTTTAGTGTGGATTCTTTATTTGTTTTATCAACTCTTATGCGTGTTATGAACTGGCGCCAAAATGTTGCGGTGTTTCGGAATAAAATTGAGACTGTAATAGGATAGGGACGCTGATGCTAATCACGTATACCGCCTGACTACACCAACGACATTATACGGCAGTTACCCGTTTCCCCAACTCGATCTACTTAAACCAGAACACGCAACGACCTGGGATGGAAAATATATTTGACACAGTTCGTATAAGAAGTCAGTTTACCAAAGATTTTACGGGTGCGATTGTGTCTCTTACCGAACTGATTGTCTTGTAGAAGGTATTCAGTGTTAGCTCTAAATTATTATTGGTAAAGTACTCATCCCAGTCAGAGCTTCTCAAGAGCGCTGGTAGGAATTCCCAGTCGGCATTTCTATAGTCCCTGAATTGATAGTAAACCGGGGAAATTTTAGGTATGTGTCTAGTTGTTAGTTGAAGAGGTAGAATGCAGTACAGTATGTTGTGATCACTGTTATCGAGTTTATCCTTTCACCTCTATCGAGATCGATCGCCTCTACTTTGTGGCAGACGATTAAGTCGAGAATATTGTTATGTCATGTTGGGAGGCGTGCTCACTGCCTCCATCCTCCTAAATCTATAGCTTCTAAGAGCTTGTTGTGGATTCTAGGTCCAGCGCAGATATCCCAGTTGACTCCGGGGAGGTTGAAATTGCCACAAACTAGTTTGTAGTCAAATTCTAGCGTAGGTACATGCTCTAGTACTTCTCCAATAACCGTATCAGTCGTTTTAGGGTTGTTAGGGACTCTGTATATACATCCCACAAGAATTTTATTTTCATTCGTGTGGATGCTTATTCACTTAGACAACATTATATATATATATATATATATATATATATGGCCAGTGGCATATACGTGAGAAGATGACTATAAATAGATGTCTACCTGATCAAAGACATAGGCATGAGCGAAATTATACAGAATGATCTTGATTACCATCTCACCATAAACATCTGTCACGTCTGACTACATATTAGTGTGGTAGTTTAAACTGCTGTACTTTTGTGCGAAGTTCTACTCTGAAAGTTCATTTCACTATAATTTTTATTCTATGATGAACCTAAATTTTTTTCATCTTGGAGGCTGGTATTCATTATAGTGCTAGTTGAGATAAGTTGTTACCTATTATCTTCAAATAAGTAGTAGTTCTCTTTACTGCACGGCAATAAGTATCAGATTGTTCACCCTTAAGTGTAGTTTGATATTCATTGCGTATAGTCTCTCGATGGATAACAGCTGCTACCTTGACATGGCGATCGGGCTTGCATGTCGCAATGACCCAACGATCTACACTGGCTAGAACTAGTGTTCCTGTAGGTCCTTTCATACCAGAAAAGCTGTTTGGATAGCGATTAGACTAAAAGCAGTCACCAGCATAGTGTATGTAAATTTACACTGTGTTTGGATGAATTCGTACTGCTAGCGGATAGTGATGTAACAGCTGCAAGGTGTTCCCCTCAAATGACCAGTAAGCCGTTTATGCTGTCTCTTTGCTCAGGAGAGGGTAGTTAGAAAAGGTTGACCCCAAAAATTGTATATCGCGACTTATCTTGCGGCAATCAGTAGCCGCAGGTGAAACTCCAAAAGGCATTTAAAACAGACCGTGTGTTACTGGCTTCAAACAGTTATCCTCTGTGGTCACGCAATACTAATTCTTCTCTGTTTTCAGTTGTCCCACTTTACTTAACCCTTACCTTGTCTTTTATGTTATGTTAGACTAACAAGTGTGTGTATGTCCTTTTTAAATAGCAGTCTGATTTTAAGTCAGTTTGTGATGACTAAGCATATATAGTGTCACTTAAAATTCTTAACAATAAGAAGTATCTTATGTTTATCTGTAACTTTTAAATTGATTTTATCGTCACTTCTAAAATCCGTTTTTAGGCATTTGTACTTTCTGTTGGTACTCGTGAAAAATTAACTGAAATATTTAATAAGATTGGATCAAAGAAAGCTGATGAAGTAAGTGTTTTGTTAAAACTGCTTTTCTTACACACAATAATATTCATGTCTACAATTCCATTGGTGTAAATCTCATATAAACAATGATGTGATATTCTTAGATGCATATTACTCACATTTGTTTACGCTTACAATAGAATTTCTTTCACCCACACTTATTTTGAATTGAATCTTGTGAGCAATACTTAATAATATCATAAAATTATTTGAAAGTAATCCCGGCATGTTAAAAAAATCAAGGCGGAATTTTCTTCAAAGTTTCTCTGTGTATGCCGCAGCTTCGTCAGCAGAATTACTTGGGTTTTAATAAATATTAAAGTACATATTCAAATGATATAAAAAATAAAATGAATTTGTCGGAAGATCACTTTGTGTGTGATTAAACGTGATAATTCATCATTTAGGGTAAAATTTCCATTAATTTGCACCCTGTCTCTCAGTTATGTGCCGTCTAAATCTCTTTGTCTGTTGGACTAACTCTTATAATTCACGACGGTAATTATCTTTGATAAAGAGGCACCGAGTCAATGGCTCTGTGTATTTTGTTTCAAATATTTTACAATTAAGATATATGGGGAATCAACCCCAACGCATGTCGATTCTCTAGTCATTCACTTATGAAGAGTCTCAAACTGGGACGAAACAGTCGTCAAGTACTCCCAGATTTTCCAATGATTCTCTAACCGATGTCAGCTCATGATGGAATCCTCCAAACAATCAAACAATATCCCTGCAAACCAATACTTGAAAATTCTTATTTGTCAGAACATGACTCTGGTTCTCATTATAATACGCCCTTAAGGGGAATTCAATATTTCATAGAAAGAACTGTGAGGTCATTTCTCCAAAATTTAAAAAAACGCCTGACGAATCTGTGTATTCTTCTCTGGATTAATAAATCATCAATAAGCTATTTAGATTCCTCTAAGAATAATAAGCTGTAGAATAATAGATTAATCGACAAATTTGATAGTAGCAGGGAACTTCAGTGAGAAATAAAACCCACCATGTCAGGATAGTATTTGTTAGTCATTTCTGATTTTTTTTTAATGTATTTGCTTGTATTGTAACGAGATTGTATAGCTGGACAGATATAACATCGGTACATGGTGCATTAATTGCTGAATACTTACTTATACACCGGTAAAAATCGTTGTACTGCAGCTGTCTACCTTAACGTTAGAACATTAACTGGAGCAGTAAAATAGAAAAATACCTTCAGTTTCCCAGTGTGAGTAACTTCCCTTCGGTATTCTAATATATATCATATATGTCAGACGGCAGTAAATCGAATCCCTTACTAGTGCTTGTTGTATTTCATTGTATGAAATATTGATCCGTTTGAATAAGCACGCAATTCAACTTCAAATATCGACGTGACTCGCTTAAGCAAATTTGATCTTCTTATGCCATTCTTGATCATATGTTGATAAGTGGGGTTTGTCACAGGACTTAAAATTGAGTGGGCATCACTTACCTTGCTTGAAATATTTATGAGCTTTTGATCAATGTTTACTCACCTCTCTATTTTATAGTGAATTTTACTCTTTCTGTATATTTCTTTGAAGAAATGCATTTTACGACAAATTGCACTAATTAATTAATCAATCACTTGATTAATCGTATGAGTGTCTTTTTTTTCTAAAAGTTATCTCTATAGTTCATATGTTTAGTGTATTTATTACTGATCTTTATCTTATACTTAACAGGGATTGAATGAATTATATGATTTTACTCAGCGGTACCCAGACATAGATTTATCTTCATATCTGACAAACACAAGCCAGTTTTATCAAGCGTATATAAAACAAGCTTTAAGAAATATAGCTGTTGAACGTACACGTCAAGCACGAACAGCATCGGAAGACAAAGAAGCCAATAAATTGGCACCTCATCAGGTGAGTACAAAGTGTTCCTTGAAAAAATGATTGGTATGGTTGACTTGGAACAAATTTCACTTATTTTGTGAAGGCTATTCGACACTACTCTAATTGCCCAGGCTGAAGTAGGTGGACCATGATATAAACTCGGCACTCATATCTTGGAAGCCAATGAGCCCTATTTCCACAGTTGCTATAATAATAATAATAATAGTGAACTTTTCACATGTCAGTTTTCACGGTGGCAGTCAAAGATAACTTCTCTATAAACAATTACTTCCGAAACGTCTGTTTAGTTTTTTAACAACATGAAAGCTGACTGTTGTTAATGTCATTTTTATCACAAGTGAAACGACCGCGTGAGGATTTACTACCTAACTGCCATCTACTATCATTAATAAATCATCGGTTAACCTCATTGTGCAGCTTTTTTGCACTGAGATTGTAATAAATTTGCGTGATGCTTATCGGTAGACTTGGTAGTTATTTTATGAAACTGAAGAGCAGAGTAGTATATTCTATTTCTTGACTAAGTCCTCTTGCCAGACAAATAGAAACTCTACTTTTTGATAACATTCTTGAATGAATGGTAATGAAATCTGAGAGACACTGACAGGATTGTCTTATAGGTGGTAGTCTCACAGTGTATACCTAAAAAAATTAAGTGAGGATACCAATTTCTTGAATTTTGAGTCTTGTCTGATGTATTATCCCGCAAAATTGTAAATTCTCTAGAACCCCTCATTGAGAAGTTCATTATAAGCTCACTTTACTAATCCTTCACCTGGTAGCTCCATATTATGACATCATTTTCCTACATCTTCTGATTATTGACGTAGCTAGCGAATAGTAAATATAATGCAAAACACTAAGACAGAATGGATGACGCCACCATTAGCCAGTGTTCAATTGTAAGGTTTGTTAAAGGATTCACTAGTGCTTATTGCATTACTACAGTTACATCTATCATATTTTCACCCATTATTTGACTAATTATTCATTTAATTTCATAATAGCCAAATGGCATTTCAGTACGTCCTAACTGGAATGAAGATTTAGGCACAGATATAACTGATGGACAGCCTACTAATCCTAAAGTTTTTATGAATCGACTTGCAATGTTGCGAAGAGAACTAGGTCTTGGTGGCATATCAACAACAAACGTTGATGACAATATTGGTGCAGTCGATGAAACAGGAATACAAGGCACAGTATTAGAGACAACACTCAGGGTAAGTGTATCCTTTGTTTATATGAATATAAATTGTGTCCATGAAAATATACTTCCATGAAGCAGTTAAAATACTAATCGTAATGTGTGTTTTATAAAAAAGAACTAATTGCACGAAAATATGTTTAGACAGATGTAACCTTGAGCATTTGATCATAATAAAATTATGCATCTTTGGATATACGTGCATGTAGCTGTATTATCATTTCACCTCTTTGCTGATACATCGCGATCTCTTGTGAAAAGTGAATCCTTAATGTAAACACAAAGTAACAAATAGTGTCAATTAGTGAAAGTAGCCAGATGATGTCAAATCTCAAATTTGGTTGCTTTGTAATGCAGTTTGCAGTTATCTATAACCCCATGCTGCAGATATCTTTTACAATCACAATATATCCTCTTTATGATGAGTTAGAATAAGTGAAGACGATATTATAGGACAGATGGTTTATGCTGCGTTCCACTACATAACTTTGATTCTGAAAGCGTACAAACCTCACTAACTGGCTACAGCGCCAATTACTCATTACAGTGATAATACTTAATATTTTACTCGCGCAACGTTGTGGTTGCTTTTTTGTCAGGCATTATGATGAAGTAAGTAAGAAGTCAGTGACAATATATAGTTACATTGTAAAAAAAATATAGTTCCAGAAGGTTTTCTGGATGTCAAGCTTCCTGCAGTTGTTTATATGTGGTCTCGTTTGGTCTTCCGCTTCTATCGCTCCGATAACCTAGTGGCTGGGATTATATATCGGCTTCTAGACGATTTTGAAAATCGATAAAACCTTTTCTCACAGATGTAGAATTATCTTTCTAACAGGTCATAATTTATAAGTAGTATTGTTTGCTTTGCCACACGAGATAGTTTTGGAATCAGTAGGAAAATACAAAATCTGGGAGTACTGGACGGCTATTTCATCCTAGTTTGATACTCTTCATCAGCGCGCACCCACCCGGGAATAGAACGCAAAACCCTATGGCTACATGGCGAGCTGAAGGTGTACTACTGAAGAGTCCCAAACTAGGACGAAACAACTGTCTAGTACTCCCAGGTTTTTCAATAGTTCTCTAACTGATGTCAGCTCATGACGAAATCCTCCAACCAATCAAACAAATCCATACAAAAATCAATGCTTGAAAATACAAAATCTACTGATATTTATGTATAACTTGTTATTTCTTATTATTTACTAACGTTTTTTTCTTTTTCAGAATATGATTAAACCAAAAGGTGATCAAAACTCTGATTCTCCAGACGAAAATATTCAACCAGCACCTGATCACAGGATAACTATGTCTGCAACTGAACTAATGGATCTTAAACGTCGTTTGGATCGAATCAAAAGTGCCCAGAAACATTAATCATTGTTTCAATTGACATGCAGTCTTCCATAACATGCCAACTTTCACTAATTAGGTGTTCTTTGACTTGAACTTATGTTTATGTAAATATTTCTCAGACATTGTTTACAAGATTTTACAGTGTACGTATGTACCGCAAAAATTTACGCATATACCTATATAATCTCCCCCAATATATGTTTATACTTATAACTATTTCACACTTTTAATCTACTCACTAAAAATCATATACTACGTCACTATAACACTTTATTAGAGAAAATCAGGTGAATATTACGAGTGTTTTTAAATTATCAATAGTGAGTGTGAAAGTTCCTTCAATAAAATCACAAAGACAGCTGTGTTCATAAGATTTAGTTGCTTGTTCCACTGTAATGTTTGTTATACTCTTGCATGAATTCATCTAATCTATCGACTATTACTCCTGTCAAGCCGAATTGTGATGCTTTTCTGAAAAACTCCATCTCTGATACACCATCACCATAAACAAAGCACGATAGTTGTTTACTGTTCAAAAAATCTGTCAAAGATTTCGGTGGTATTTTATCAACACAGTTTGTCGAATCAAAATGTTTTCCAACTGTAACAATTCCACTGAAATTCATTATAACTGCCCAATTCATAACAGAGAATATATTATGATGTCGAGGATCTGTTCTGTGACTATTATCACACGGAATTCCACCGCGTGAAATAAACAGTACTGGTAGAAAAGATTGCTTTAGTCGCAAGGCTAAGCATATATCTGGATTGAAAGAAGATAGAATGACGTATCTGCGTCCAGCATTTAACCATATTGTCTGTAAAGAAAATTTTCAACAAAGAATTACTGATTTTCTGCTGTTTGTAAAAATAGGTTAGCAAAAATAAGTTATGCAACTTACAATTTTATCAGTGTACAACCATGCAATAAAAGCTGCTAGTTATAGTGTAACAAAATGGTTTAGCCTTGTTTCTCATTTAGGAGACGTGAAAATCAATACGTACATGACAATCCTTTTGATTAACTTGGTTTTTAGTGATTCTTTAGATGAATACTATCCTGCGATAAGTACTACGTTCCTAGGCCCTACTGGATCATTTATGAACTACTATTCACGATGTTAATGTAGACGAATTTCTTGTTTGCTTACTGAAACCAAAGCATACTCATGTATTATTGAATTAGACTGACTGTCATATCACAATTAAGTATTTATTAACTGACTGAATGTCAGTGTAGAACTCTTCACAGAAGTGCAGCGGTTCATGTTGCCACACTCCATGTAGTGTAATACATTTTCATCGGAACGACATTCAGTTATTATTTCTGTTACGTCAAATAAACTTATCTACTATGGAATTTTATTTTGCCACCGTGCAGAATCTCAAGATTCAATTTTAACTGAATCTCGACTTTATAACATATTTTGCATGGGGTTAACACTACAAAATTATGTACAGTGTTTACAGCTATTGAAATAAATCGGTTGTTTGTACCACTATTTCCACTTGCATGTGTGGCATTAGGCGCAATATTAAGATTTCATAAAGTCCACTAGAATAATAGTCAGTATTATTGGAATAAACGGCAGAATATGTCAACGCAATATACTTACGTCCAATATTTTGTCGCAAAATCTATTTATTTTAGAAAAATATGTGTACGGCGTTGGTAAAGAAGAATTTATCGATTTGTTTTTGTTACATTCTTCAATAATAATACTCAATGGAGTCTCCGGTGGATATTTTATCTCTACATTGAAGGCAAGATTTGGAGAAGTTTGCCGAAATGCATCTTTTAATAGCGGGACTGGTGCAGCTTCAACGCCATGAATATTTGGTGTGGGATCGTTACCAGTTAGAGGTTGAGGATATTTATTCTCCTTAGCAGTGTCAAGGTTTGCTGGTCTATCAATCTTGCTTAACAGTTCACGAATTTCAGATAAAGAATAATTTACGATCAAATCTGTACTGTTTTCGTTCACCGCACCATCAGCTTTAAAGAAATACAAAATTGAAAACAAATTATGTTAGATACTATTCATAGTGGAAAATAAACACCATTGTAAAATAATAAAAAGCTCGGATAAGGAAGAACACGCACACCCGGCTAATGTGTAGGAATTGCGTGGTTTTGCAATATGCTTGGGAATATATTGAGAAACAGTGTCTTGGAATGTAGAAATGTACTCAGTATTAGAAGTTTGTGTAAGGTTTTGTTAAATGGATTTCGTATAAACGGTTGATTATTTTTTTCGACCAGAAATCTGTTTAGTTGTTGAAACAGGTGGCCGATCGATCTCACTTGTACAGTAATTTTAGCTTACAATTGATTGTAAAAGATTGAAAGTACAATATATATATATATATATATATATATATATATAGAGAGAGAGAGAGCTTATAGCCTAGTTAACGCCAACACACATATCTAGGACAGTTTTAAGTTAAAAAAGAATGATTCCTTACGAAAACCCATTATCAGGCATCACAGAGACAAGAAAAAGTTCCTTAATCGATTAAGATTATAAGCTTGTAGTACTTACGAACAACAATATATCTAAACTGCTGCCGGTAACAACAGCAACACTGAACAATTGAAGTGAAAAACAATGTGGAGAAACTATAACAGTGTGTCAAGATTTCAGGTGGATAAGAGGATTCTATCTGCAAGGTGGAATTTACTAAGTAATCTGAGTGAATTTAAATGTTCAACTGTCAATGTGTTTTGCTGTAAGTTGACTAATGTATGACATTATGATAGGATACTCATTTTGGAAACAGCTTCATATTAATGCTAGGTGGTAACACTACAAACTTCTCCTGTAAAAGAGCCTAAGCTTTCTTAAATATCGTATTTCTTTTCATAAGAAAGAAAGTAAGCTCATCATACTAAAACTAAAGCTGATATATCCAATGACCATTAACATATATTTTACCACATACATAACTTCTCATTTTTGCTTTAAGCATCTTCATAAACAAACAGATTTCTTACGAATTCACCATATTTGATGTATTACCATTATTCATTCCTTGATTTCTAGGCGGAACATAGGGATTCTGCAGCAAATCTTCATCACATTGGGTTCTCTGCTAACATTTTTAGACGACTATCCACAAGTGTTCATTTCCTTTTCACATGATCTTCCCCATGCCACCCTAAGACGGTCAACTCATTATTTTTTTATTAGGGTTCCACTCGACAGTCTTGCGTATATGGTATCAGTACACAGTCACCACAACCGATGTCCAGTTCATCTCCATTTTATTCTGCACATTTGTTGAACAATAGTTTCTTATTTGGTTCTCTGTCAGGGTTCCTTGTTGATTATCCCATCTAATCTTCAGCATCGAGCCAGTAAAGGTGACTGTTAGCGAAAGTCTACAGCTCGTTTGAAATGCATTTAGTGAGGTTTCAATCGATATGTAATCAACACTTAGTTGACTGTTATTCACTTTTCAAAACAAACATTCATTGGACTTCATCTGTCCACCGTGTATGTGGCTGATTGAAATCCCGGATCATTTTTGAATGCCTTATATAACCCTATTGATGGATTTTCGATTATGGTATTTGATGAAGAAGTTACTCGAAGCAAACGTTGACATTGAAATCGGCTATATTATCAAAACAAATTAAATAAGACTGTTTATTATAAGTACCTTAGTTTTTCTCCCAGCAGATTATTACGTCTTTAACGTTATTCGTCAATAATCAGTTACTAGTGATTTATCGATCGGTTAACTTTTACACAAACATAATTGATTTGTAATACAACAATTTTTATCATAATGAGCCCGATGAAGAACAAAAAAAGTAATCAAAGCCTTGAGACAAAGTTGCGATACATTTTTTGATGTAAGATTCGTGGTAAAATCGTGTTTAAAAAATAGCAGAGAATTTTTGACCTAACGATTAGTTTATGTAGAGTATCTACAGCTGTTAAATAATGAGGGGTAACTTCTTTTTCCTGTATATTTATCTTAACTGACTATTGAGTTTCCTCATATTCACTAGGACTTTTCTTGATTCAATAAACTTTGAACTGTACTGAAACAATTTCATATTTTCTAAACCACATCCAATATAGATTTACAATCACAAGTTAACAAACTAACTCACGTTTATGTTCTAATTTGAAGGTAGATGGATCACTTTCACATTTTCTCACCTGTTCTACAACACCTAGAGTGTAGTTATGATGCAAAACAACTTCAAAGTCTTTTGTTAAAGTTGCATCACATTCCACCATTTTTACGCCAAGTTGTTCAGCACGTTGAAAGGCGCATATAGTATTTTCAGGCCATTGTTGACCCTTACCGTAATGTGCACGTCTTACACCGGCACCAGCGTGACCGACTATCATTGGTTGATGAACTGCATTTTGAGTAACTGATGGAAGATTTAAGGTGAGAGGTGCTCCACAATCCGAATCAGGTGGTGTATATCCATAAATAAATAGATAATATACTGAAGATAAAAGTAAGAAATATATATTTTAGGAGTAATACACTAGAAGAAATAAGTTATCATTTCTGTACTACAAATTAAACCAACAAATAGACGCAAATTACAAAGAGATATTTTTCCTAGTGGTTGGCTGCAATTGAGATACGACTACATTTATACTTCTTAACAGACTTAAAGTTCGCTAATTACGATGTGTAAATTATGGCAGAAGTTTACATCAGTCTACATACTAAATAGCATAAGTGTACAGCCATATCAAACAGGTAAGTTCGCACATTTTGTAAACTTCTGTCTCCTATGATGAATGCTGCTATGTTCGTAATGTGTAAAGCGAAATCTATCAATAAGACCAGAATATATATATGGAAATAATAAAGAGAACTAATGTAAATAAATTACACGAGTTGACAAAGTTAGGACTCAGGGGCCACTGAATTTTGGCCAAAGTGACTGAGTCGTCGAGGAGCTCGGTCTTGTAAACTGAAAGTCCCGCGTTCGACTCTTCGCGGGGTCGTCGTTGCCCACTGATGAAGGATCCCAAAGTAGGGCAAGGCAAAAGCCCAGTGCTCCTTGGGTTTTAATTATCTCTTTCACTACTGTAGGCGGCCTGCTTGAATCACTGGGCTACCGAAATTACTTTTCATCAAAATGCTCAGTTTCATCTGGATTTATCATTGTTTCAATCGTCCAGTTATATCAAATAACCTATACATGAAGTTCGCGCTGATTTAACTTGCTTCCAAGTAAACGCTGTTCAATTCTTCAACGAAATGAAGATATACTTCAGACTATTATTCTGCATGTAAATCCTATATGAAGATAAAAGTGTCTTGGAACTAAATACGCTGAAAAGTTTTGTACCATATGTTTGTATTTTGTCTCAAATAAAGCTTTATAATTATTCCCAAGCTTACTATAATACCGAATTAAATCTCGCTAATTCTAACGTTCTATACTGAGTAAATTCTGAAATGGTTTGATTATGCGCATAGACTAGAACTCAGTGCTGGTTCTCACCAGGACTGGCACTAATTCAGCACCCTGTTCTTTTACTAGGCATTTTTAGAAGCAGCTCAGAACCTACTGGGTTTGCTAATCAGCGTTGATTCAGCCGTCTCAGTCCCGATTCAGCCCTGACTGGCATTACTTTAGAACAAAAAGACCTAATTCAGTGCATAGCGGCAATATTTCGGCTTTCTTTAAGCACTAAATGCATCATTTCAGTTGCAAATCCTAGTTTTAAGGTTTCGTCGCATTAATAATTAAGCATCTAGTGCTCTTTTAAGAACGATCAGTTTTATTTCAGTTCGTACGAACCAATTGGTTAGTAATTTGAAAATTCCCATTCAGTTATAGAAAAGAAAAGGCGTTCAGCAAAGAGTTACTCTTTTCGGCGATATCATTCTCAAGCTGTACAAACCGCAAATTTATAGTAATTTTTCTTGGCAACAAAACGAATATTTCCAAAGATGTGTTAATGCAATTGTTAATTTTTGACAACAAAATACGTAATTTAGAAGGCGTTAATCGGTTAGAAACTAAAATAAAGAGTACGAATTAAACTTCTTCAAACTGCAGAAGCAATGGCAATTCACATATCGAATCCTTAACTCTGCATACAAAAGAAGTTTGTTCAGTCACTAAATCTACAATGGTCCTGATCTATCTTAACACCAAATACGTAATTTTGTCTTACCTCTTTCTTCTTTGTTTGTCTGTTTCTTAACTGCATTATTTTCTACCCCCACCCTCTATTAAATCTCTACCCTCATGACGACTGTTGCTAACTCCATTTTCGTTTATTTTCAAGTGAATTCTACTCAGATTATTAACTTGACTCTCATTCATTTTTCATTGAATCCTATCAATTAGATTACGTCACTCAACCTACTTTTGTAACTTTATTTTAGTTTCTAACCGATTAACGCCTTCTAAATTACGTATTTTGTTGTCAAAAATTAACAATTGCATTAACACATCTTTGGAAATATTCGTTTTGTTGCCAAGAAAAATTACTATAAATTTGCGGTTTGTACAGCTTGAGAATGATATCGCCGAAAAGAGTAACTCTTTGCTGAACGCCTTTTCTTTTCTACAACTGGTTAGTGACGAAAAACCTAACAAGTGGAATTTAAAAAATACATTTTATTCACCCCACGCCTTACATTGATTTTCTACAATAAGAACGTTTAATCTAACCAGAAACATTACCATACTTGAAAGGTACCTTCCAAGTAGAAATCTATACTCAATGACGTCATTGAGTTTGGTTATGAAAAGCTGCCCAGTTGGGTTTACCAAGTTAATATCCCACTAGTTTACAAATGTCACTTTGCAAGTTAGGCCAATCTTTTTCCCTAACGTGTGTTTTTTTATTCCTTTACGTTCCCAGTGGAACATAGGGCTTCAAGCTAGAGGCTTTAAGTTTCGGTATTTATTTTTACGAGATGGGGTTGCTAGCCCAACCTTCTCTCTTTACCAGTCGTATTACTGGCTTAGGGGGGTAAAGGAGTGCATCGACCGAGGATCGAACCCCGAACCACATAAGTGGTCGGATTGCATTCTACCTCTGTGCCACCGACGCGTCGGTTTGCAGGGATTTAACTGATATCAAGTTTGATCATGGCCTGCTTAAATCTTGGTTTACCAAAAATCTATCCATCATAATATCACATCTAGTTTCTTATGTTCAAGTTAGAAAGAAATATTTCTTTTTGGGAACTGTGGTTGCGTTGCAACCTTCATCAATTCTCAGAGGTGTACTTCAAATCATGTATGTTTTAAATTCTCTAGTGAAAAAATTGACTACCTCACTGTTAAATGCCGACCGAAACACCGGTTCAGATATAACTACAAATACATTTCAAACACTTACATTGCATTTGGATGTAGTCTCTCAGAACTATCTTCAAACGCTGATACATTTACTTCCCTCGGGAAAACCTTGTCAACAGTTACTGGTGACTTCACTTCTTGTAACTATAGTTCCTTTACATCACTTGGTCACGAAAACATCAACTTCCCAACACAACTAAAAAAATACCCTTGATCTAGTGTTTACAAATGAATTCAGCACATTTGAAGTTCGAAAAAGAGCTCCACTACTTAATTCTGATCATTATATCGTGCTTATATTGCCCAAAATATATGAAAAGCTGCATAATAGGCTATCTTGAGTCTTGGCAAGAAAACACAACATAGATGTAACTCTTATGACAATATACAGAATCTAAGAAACATGTTAAATGGTACAAACTGGGACTTATTTACGGAACAAGTCCTAGATCACACAGTCAGAAAAGTAACAGGTTATCGCAAATCCTGTCGTGATGTTTATCGTCCAAAAGAGACACCGCTTTTCCTCTCCTCAGTTCAAAAATATCCGTCAAGAAAAACAAAAGTTATGCAAAGTGAAAGATAATCCTGGTGTTAAAAGACTGAACTTCTTTATTAAATCAGGAATACGGAGATTAAATACGATCTGTAACCCAAAGTTCTTATCATGCAAAACCTCATCAAATATGTGGAAGCTGTTTGAGAAAATCACCTGGTGTAAGGAAATAAATTATGATCCTTCTTCAGTTGATGCTGGTAATTCTAATAAGTCTTTCATATGTCATCCAGCTGGTATTATGACCTCAAATGCTACAAGTGCAAATAATGACTGCTTCTCCGGTTTTAACATAAACGATGTCCTCAAGTGTTTCAAATCCCTGAAACCTTCCTAGTCCCTTGGTCTAGATAGCGTACCAGCTATTATCCTCAAAAAATGTGATGAAATTTTATGTTATCCTCTCATTAGTATTTTCGATGCGTCGTTGTAAACCTTAGTATACTTAATTTTTTTTTCATTTTACGTGAATTCATGATCAGTGTTGAGTAACTATAGTGATTGTTACTTCTGGTCGATAAACAAAGCGTCATGGAAATTTATCTAAATAAAATTCACCTAACGCAAATATTAATTTTTTTCAACTAAAGTGGAATATCATAATCTTATAAGTTTAGTATGATAGCGATCGCTTTAATTATTTAGCTCACAAATATGCTATTAGGGACGAAGATAAATACACTGGTTTGTGCTTTAAAATATTTATATTCAGATTCATACTGAATATCTTAATTCCTATTCATTGTATTCATTCGACGTTATTGTTTCCCAATGAGTTAGAATCATATGTTTAAAAGTAGGACCAAACTTAATGCATTTGAAAGTAGTAACATTTCTCAAAAAAACAGTAATGCAACACAACATTAAAATTGAATTTCGTGCATTAGATAATGAAGTAAACAACACATGAGTGATGCAACACTCACTGCTGATGTATATATATATATATATATATATATATATATAGTGATAAGAGTAGTCCCAGGAGAATGGCATTCGTTTTACATTGATAGAATTTTAAGTCATCAGAATAAACTTTACTAATTGGTAGCCTAACGGATATATTTAGTTTTCCTATCACCTGTTATATGAGATAACTGCGTACACTCACAATATACGGTTGATGCAACAAACATAATGATTATCTTGCGATACAGTTCACCTGTAGTTTATAACTTAACAGTCCATTTTTTCTAACATATACGAGCTTGCCAATTAATCTTTCTTAAAATCTACCATCAAACTACAGCACAACATAATGGACAGCATTGTAATGTCAATTAACTTAATGGCAGTATCGTTTATTTACATGATTGATAGGTTTAAGAGCACTTAGCATTAGATAGCTACAAGTGTTATCAATAAGTGCCCGATTTGCATAAAACATGATGACTTCCATCCTAATATCAACAATTTTAGAATATCCGATTTAGTGTGCATATTCTAAAATCGAGAACTAAAATCGTCAAGAAAAGTAATGAATGATACAATGTAGTATCGTTCTATATGATATGATACTATGAATGTTGTGAACCAGTTAAACTTTTATACACTTCGCTGAAACTAAAGAGACTAGGTAACTCCTTTCTCAATATAAAGAATATGCCACAAAAGCATTTCATCAGCAAACATTAATTTAGATAACTTCAATCTAGAATTTTTATGCACATCGAAAAAAGTTAGCATATTTAGAGATTACAGCTAGACATTGAAGCATCTATCAGTAAAATCTGTCAGCTTACAGAACAGCTTCACTCGAACAAAACGCTAATATGGAGTCGAATACTTAAGATAGGACACATTAGAGAATGTTAGTCATTTCTGACACTATTTAAAAATAAATTACATTTAAAAAATATACTTTTGATTGCTTACAGTAAATTTCATCTAAAGTGCCGTTAACTGAAGACACTGGAAGACACAGTAAACCTTGATCCTCTTGATAATCAGGTTGTAAAGTAAAGGAAATATTCGACTTTTCAGAACCACAATCATCCTCCAACTCTAAATCAACAGACTATAATACTAATTACCGTAACCAAGTAAACTTACCCAAGTGGAATTCAACGGTGAGTCATATTCAGATATGAGAAAGCCGCTAGCAGCTTGTGGAGTTACAGGTATCCATTTGTTTTTGCTAAGAGAACCTTTGGCAGACCATGACAATGATGGGTCTATATTACACGACTGAAAATAGAATAAATTATACAAAGAAAGTTGTATCAAAAAGTTATGATTGGAGGAGACCACAATTATGTTGACTTGGTTACAAAGAAATCAACACTAAAATGAAGGGTTAATTGGATGAGATCATTATGTTCGGCTTCCATTGGCTACACAAGTAATTACCTTCTTCAACAATGATCTTCTGAAAACGAAGACTTGTGAAATAAGAGAATGGTTAAGTGTACTGAATTTAATAGCAAATTTATCCGTCTAAAATCAATTAATTTACGATCATGATAAAGAGCAGTTGTTTTAACTCCTTTTCTCAACTCATTATTGTGTATAGACGACTAGGTGAAACTAGCGTTTGGAATATTCTGCTACATTAGCCGTTGAACACAGAACGAAGTTATTTTATATTTGAACTTCAAAGCTATGGTAATCTAAGTGTTACATCATCCCTAGCTGGTCCTTCGGAGTAAAATAGTGATCGCTGCTTTTGTCCTCAGGGATTTAGGTAGATACTTGGCTGACAAAAAGACAAGTTTAAACCAGACTTTCTTCATTTCAAACAATCTTAAAATTCATTTTGGGGACTTGAAGAAAGTTAGTTTGACGCTACCTGGTATCTCCCATTAGCAGAAACTCTTTTTATACTCAAAATAGAACTAATGTAGGGTAAAATAATAAAGACAAAACTAGGTAAAGTAGGTTACCTTTTAACTAGTATTAATTTCAGACATACAGATAGATTTCATTTAACATGACTACCCTCAAATTTAACTCAACGCTGGGATTAAAGACTTCAGTACTCTCTGTTATCCCAGGGGAGATTGATCAAGGGACAACCACTACACACCTGTACGCGTTTGTCTACGCCTTTACAGACACAACAACACAAAAAAGGAAACTTTTAATACCACTTCTACAATGAAAATGTTAAGTGCGTGTAAAAACGAATTCTTCATACAGCTTGCAAGACACAAGAATGTTACTGTTTGGCACTATTACTAAAGTTAGACGCTTTTTGATACTCAAAAACATACTTAGAAGGAGCGACAGATATTAGCAGCTCCTTTCAGAGTTAACAGGTGTAGGCAAGACATTCACTCAAGCTTTGTTCACAATAAGGTGCAGACGCAATTTATACTCAAAGCAACAATGAATCTACACACTGATTGTAAGCAGTCATGAATATCAGAAGCTAGAGAGATGGAGAAGGATGTATGGATTCGCAAGTTTATTCCGAATTACTTAAGTAGACGGTTTTAGGAAACTAGAGATTGGTAGGACTAACAGAGAAGAAAGGGGCCATAAGTTACTCACCAAAAGGTTTACTATAAAAATGAACCAAGCCTTGTAAAGTAAAATGGCTTCCAACCACTTTCGAGAGAAATATGTCACTGTCCATTAAGGGTATACTAAGAATCATTGAGCTACAATTTGTTGTGTGGTCACGAAACATGGCTATCACTGTCCATCTTTGGTGCAACCGCTGCGCCAGTAATGTAGAAGTTATAAAATCAAGTAAATCACAAATTTCTACCATCTAGGATAGTGGAGAGAAGTATTATAAATAACCGCTCACTATCTACCTTAATGGTCTATGTTAGCGAGACAACAACCAGGTTAGAAGAAAGCTACGGGCTGATACACCTGAACACGGAAATACGCCAAAAAGTCACTGAATAGTAATTCAGACTGTGCGGTGAAGCGTAATTAGCCTGGGTTAAGTTTACGTGACCACAATAACTTAGAGCTGGTGTGACTAAAATTTCCTTCACAATGAGAAAATTACTTTCTGACTCTGTTCTTTCCTATAACCATGAGGGACTCAGCTTCAGAAGTATGTTAATGTCGTTACATGAATACTGGTGCGTTAAAAGTGACTACGAACAATCACTAAAACAAAACTTAATGCCTTACACTGAGTAACAGTGAAGTAGGCAACAATCCAAGAACGTGGAGTTCAGTGATAATAAGTATATGTCTAAGTTATTCAAGAATAAAGTGTTCGAATAACTGATCCACATTTCTAAAATCAACTGTCTTTAATACACCACAGCTTCTTACAAAAAGTGTAGAATAAAATAGTTTTTTAATAAACCAGACTTCTAGTCACAAAGGTTTAAAATTTTAGTGATAAATAAGAAAACAGCTTACAAATGACATCAGTTTGTCCAAATTATCCACTATGCGTGAACCAAAACGCAAAGAACTAACTCGCATTTTCTTAAAAATAGAATTCTTTGACTTAATTGAATAAATCACCATAGCCATACGAGAGTTCATAGTTAGTCGTCAGTTATTATGTGGCACAAATTCAGTAGTTATTGCGAATGATGTCTCTACCTTAAGAGAAGTAGGAGGTAGAAAAAACGCATTCTTTACATCAAACAATATCGTAAAAATACAAGATAGAGAAAATAAACTAACTTTTATTATGTTAAACAAAAGTCCAATTTTTCTAATTGTGCACCAGAAATGTTGATCCGTTGCAGCTGATATACATGAATCGGGTGATTGTTAACCAAGGAAATTCTAAATCCCAAAAGTTTTTTAGTCAGAAATAGTGGATGACTCAACTTGCAGCTTTATCCGAACATTTTTAAGAACTGAAAACACTGATTACCAAATTTCACAGACGCTTTGTCAGGGAATCAGAATTTTTGAGACATTTGATTGAATCAGAGCAGTTATGCAGGCTGAATATTATTAGATGAAGGTAGGTTTGAAGTTGTGCTCATGATTTTAAATCTAAGTCTGAAATCGAATTACAACCAGAGACTGCAATTTCTGTCCCAAAGACAAACCGTCAATATTATTAGTACTGGAGATTAATAACCCAGGTATGATTAGACAAGAACTTTAAGGACGAAATATGATACTTTTATATATACCTTTTAATTTTGGTAGTTTCCCTGAAGAAGTTAGGACCGGTTTGTTGAAAGAGACGTTAAAATCACTTATTTCAGTTTCTCTGGAATTTATATGAATACAGTTGTTACACATGTATACTTTTCTTTCGGCGTTCAATGTTTCTGTAACTATTCGGTCAAGTCGCGATGAAACTTCGTATAAAATATAATAGTAATCTTTTATTTTTAAGCAATTCAAACAAACATTTCGCGTGCAAACAGTTGCAGTTTATACAAATTCACCCTTTCAAATGTAACTGCGGAATATGTTTTGAGTTTATGACTTCCCAAATAATTTCCAAGTTTCCTGTTTTGCAGGATGCTTCTTATAAAATAGAATTACTGATTCCATATTAATTGATTGGATATATCACTCAGTGAAACAGAATTATTTACTGAATGACGTTTTGGACACAATTTATTGTTAACAATCGTATCACAGCTTAGCTAGTAAACTCTGAGCCAATAAGTGAAGTACAGAAAAATGGTTAAGAGAATGCCAGTGGGCTTCCAACTAGTATCGGTTATGCGGAAGATCGTGTCGATTCAGCATTTATTCACCACAGGAAAAAAGCGTTAGGTTAGAACTTACTGGCGTTATGGTAAGCTTTGGATTTCAGGAAGCTTAATATAAAATTTTTGGAGAATCCAAAATCTTTTCGACGAGCTTGTATAAACCTTATGATTCCATGACGCTCCCTTCATGTCGTTTCTAAACGGTTCTAAATATTCAGCGGATTCTAGCACAATGTGCACTCTCTACTGCTGCTGAATACAATAAGTGTAGTTACATTAGTTTATTTTTGGAGGAAATGTATGGTTATTACCAAGACAGTGGCATTGCTGGGACTAGCGAATTTCGATTTTCCTGGCAATCCTCCAGTTAGCTCGACAGACAATTGAGGGAGCCATAGCAGGCTCATTGAGAGGATATGTAGAGTAGGTTCACTAAAAATGAAAGACTCAGCAAGAGAGTTGAGTGTAATACAAAATATTGGGAGTGGAATCATACACAAATGAAAGAAAAGGAGACAACCATAAAGAATAGATACCGCAGTCAAATTACCTACAGACAATCAGTCAAATCGTTAATCTTTCACATATGAGGGACTGTGGCATCTTTTTGCTGCGAGAATTGTTTTTCGACAGAATAAACTAGTTTCTAAACATAAATTCATTTCCGAAGAGTAACGATTGATATTTGCCATCGGAACCAGAGTGTAGCAATTGCGCATTGCAGACTTTTTGGGGCAGTCTTCGGGTCAAATACTCAGGATCGGCAATGCGTCCGAAGTTTTTTGCCCCAAAAAGTCTGCAGTACGCCCGAAGAAAATGCTAGCTGGGAACCACTCTTTATAGTTGCTGAATAGGTATATAACGCGACTAGTATGGAGAAAAGTATTAATTATGAACTCTATTCTTATTGAATTATAATTTTCATCAAAAAAGACTATAATTATCATCTTGATTACTAATGAAATGGAAAGATATATACGTTAAAATAAGTGGATTCTGTAGTCCCTGTACATTGTTTTCGAAATAGTGGTATTTTCCTCAAAATCCCAAAGTTGCCATAGAAATTTTCCAAAATTGTTTAGTGTGATAAAACTATGAATCTTAGTTTTGTCGCCCTTTTAGACGCACTGTTCCGCTTTTTGTCCGACTGGGTATTAAATCAAAACATATGTTTTGATGATTTTGTACTGAATATATGTATTTCTTTTTATGAATGAAGAAACCAAGTAAGCTTATAACTTACCAGATTCAGTGCACATCCCCAGACGACTGATTATATAAAGCAGTAACATGTAACATAGCTATATCTCCTTTCTAGCTCAACCTTGAGAATGACCTACAACAACCAATCAACATAATGGTTTAAACTCAACAATTTATTATATTGTATTTTAGAATATTTGACTAATTAATCTATACATGATAGTTCCGCTTTGTGCTTTGTGGGAAAACATGTCAGTTTGTTCAACTATATTCTTAGGAAAAGAATAAATGAACTTCAGAACATGTATTCATTCCAATCGCAATGCACAGTTTCAAATAACCAACATCGTTTTAACGAGCTAGTGGAAACCAATTTAATTTCTC